TCCCCATTATGCCTATCATCCGGGTCCTGCTTCTTGGCAGAATGGGGTGGGGCTGGATGAGGGCCCAGGAGGTCTCTTCCAACTCTAGGATTCGACGGGAGTGCCGTATTTCTTAAATCAAGACATAGTTTTCTTAGATCTACAGAGACACTCGCTGGAACACCTCAGCAAGTGAGAGTCCAAAAGTGGCAGGCTCAAACCCAGAACTGATACCAGATGAGAGACTCCCTCCCCCCTGGGCACACAGAAGACGGGGCGACTTGGAAGGCGCTGGACAGACTGCGTTCTGGCACCACGAGATGCAGAGCCAACCTTCAGAAATGGGGCTACAGGGTGGAATCCTCGGCACGCGAGTGCGGAGAAGAGCCAACCACTGACCACCTGCTGCAATGCAGCCTGAGCCCTTCTTCCACATGATGCACCAGGGAGGACCTTCTTGCGGCAACCCCAGAGGCACTCCAAGGGGCCAGAGACTGGTCAAAGGACATTTCATCTACTACCAAGCTTGCAAAGTTTGTGTTTTGTCTTCTGGGAGGCGGAGGCCCCAAGGAAGGAAGGAGAGAGAGAGAGAGGGATTGGGAGCCCTTTAAGCAGGCCTCTCGCCGTGGCTAATGATCACAGCCCCCCTCATGGGACAGGTTTCCCACCAGTATCCCCATTATGCCTATCATCCGGGTCCTGCTTCTTGGCAGAATGGGGTGGGGCTGGATGAGGGCCCAGGAGGCCTCTTCTGTCAGAGTTAGACCTCTGGTCTCAGCACAGCAAGCGTGAGGTTTCCAAAATAAACAGACTCAGTCATCACACAGTATTCTTCTTAAGTTCCAAGATAGCTTTGACTAGAAGCGTCTATACACAAGCGACTACATGATGAGAATGAAAAATGGCGACTAACAAAGCATAGCAAGAAAACACACAGCAAACGAGAGATCCGCCCTTCCGTCTTATCTATGTTCTTGGCTGGTACACTCCCTAGTTTTCTCAGGGCAAAGGGATTCTTGTTATCACAGTTTCACTGTCTGGCCTGTAACTTTGTAACAATAACAATTTCACTGCATATGTGAACTGAACAATAAATGAACATGACTGAATCCATCTTTGAAAAGCAATACTAATACATTACAATACTAACACAAACACATTGAAGAACATATATGTGAAATAACTACAGCTATTCTAAACGACTCCGGCCCTGTTTACCTCTCCAGACGTATTCTCCCCTACAAACCACCAAGATTACTAAGATCATCTGGAGAGGCCCTGCTCTCGGTCCCACCGGCCTCGCAAGCGCGGCTGGTGGGGACGAGGGACAGGGCCTTCTCGGTGGTGGCCCCGCGACTCTGGAACTCTCTCCCTCTGGAGGCCAGAACCGCCCCATCCATCCTAACATTTAGGAAACGGGTGAAGACGTGGCTGTGGAGTCAGGCCTTCAATGAATGAGACAACACCATAGGACCCTGGATGGAAGTTGATGTAGATCCATCTTAATAGGACGACTGACCACTGTAGTTTTATATATAGTGTTTTTAAAGTTGTTTTGAAATTGTGATATATGATATTTTAATGAGTGTATATGTTTTTATGGCTGGAAACCGGGCTGAGTCCCTCAACGAGGTTGAGAAGCTCGGCATACAAAACTGTGAAATAAATAAATAAATAAATATTCTGACATCTTCCAACTCTTTGATTCTATGATTCTATGGGAGTGCCTCCCCTCTCTAATGTTGTGCCTGTTGTATCATGGGTGTGTTCATTTCCTGAGGTGTCTGCCTTCTTTGATTTGCAGCCTCCTTACCTCTATATACTTGAAGCAGCGGGAGGGGCTGCTGGTCATGGGACTGTTTGGAAAGGATGGCCATTGAGGAATGGCAGTTGAGAACAAGCCCTATGAGGAGCGGCTTAAGGAGCTGCTGGGCATGTTTAGCCTGAAGAAGGGAAGGCTGAGAAGCTCCAGCAGACAAGAGTCCTTTGTCCCACCCTGGTCATTCCACAGATATATAAACCCATTTCCTAGTTCCAACAGACCTCACTACCTCTGAGGATGCTTGCCATAGATGCAGGCGAAACGTCAGGAGAGAATGCCTCTAGAACATATAGCCCGAAAAAACCTACAACAACCCAGTGATTCTGGCCATGAAAGCCTTCGACAATACAATAAATAAAAATGTAATGTTCGTTTGTGGGATTAACATAACTCAAAAACCACTGGGCGAATTGACACCAAATTTGGACACAACACATCAGGCCAACAAGTGACCATCACTCATAAAAACACTGATAAACACAGCAGAAGAGACTTAAAAAGCCAAAAGAAATCTATATAAATAAAAATGTAATGTTCGTTTGTGGGATTAACATAACTCAAAAACCACTGGACGAATTGACACCAAATTTGGACAGCATACACCTAACAACCCAATGTATGTCCTTCACTCAATTTTTTTTATTTTGTCATTTGGGAGTTGTAGTTCTTGGGATTTATAGTTCACCTACAATCAAAGAGCATTCTGAACTCCACCAATGATGGAATTGAACCAAACTTGGCACACAGACTCCCATGACCAACAGAAAACACTAGAAGCGTTTGGTGGGCATTGACCTTGAGTTTGGAGTTGTAGTTCACCTACATCCAGAGAGCACTGTGGACTCAAACAATGATGGATCTGGACCAAACTTGGCACACAAATTCCATATGCTGAACACTGGTGCAGTGTGGGGAAAATAGAATCTTGACATTTGGAAGATGTAGTTGTTGGGATTTATAGTTCACCTACAATCACCGAGCATTCTGAACCCCACCAACGATAGAATTGGGCCAAACCTCCCACACAGAACCCCCATGTGGGTCACAGCTACACATGGCAGGGGATGGCTAGTAAATAAATAAATGTAATGTTCATTTGTGGGATTAACATAACTCAAAAACCACTGGGCGAACTGACACTAAATTTGGACACGATACATCAGCCCAACAAATGACCATCACTCATAAAAACACTGATAAACGGAAAAGACTTAAAAAGACAAAAAATAATTTAAAAATTACAATGCATGCACATAACCACAGAAGTACACATATACACAAATATACACACACACATATACACACACACAGCACATATACACAGATTGGGCCACAGCAATGCTTGGCAGGGGAAGGCTAGTCATTAATAAAGATGTTGAATAGCACCAGACTCAGGAGAGAACCCACTTTATGGCACCCAATAGTCTTCTTTCCAGGATGAAGAGGAGGAACCATTGGAGAGAAGCAGCCTTTGTTTTTTGTCACTGAACCAATTCTCAGTCCACCCCAAGGTAGTATTGTTCAGCCCCCATCTGACTAGTTTGCTTGCAAGAAGGTCATGGGGGACTTTGTCAAAGGTCTTACTGAAATAAAGATAATATGCTCCATCCAGAGCATTCCCTGCAACTACTAAGCTTGTAACTCCACCAAAAAAGAGGTAGGATTAGTCTGACATGACTTGTTTTCAAGAAACCCATATTGACTTTTTTGTGGGTATCCACTCCACTTACCCACATTGGGTCACCTAGGTCTGAATCCTGCATCCGGATGCAATCCATGCTGATTTCAATCTTGTTCGCAGGGACATTCTCCACCGGCTCCTCCAAAAAATTCAAGTCAATGGGCTGGACTGAACATATTGGCCTAAAGAACAGAGGAATGAACATGGATTACTTGAAAGACAGGACTCACTAGAGAAGAGAATGATGCTTGGAAAGGTCTAGCTGTAGCTATCTTCAAGATCTTGGAAGCTAAGGAGCTAAACAGGAGACCTGTTTAGTACTTGGATGGGAACCCACCAATAAATACTCAGAACTGTAGGCCATATTTCAGAGGATGGACCTGGTAAATCCACCTCTGAAGATCTCTTTAAAACCCTACAAAATTCATGGGGTTTTCCTAAGTCTATAGTTGACTTGAAGGCAAACAGACACAAGTAGAAGGCCATCGTGAAAGAGGGAGACTGGCTTATAAATGGATCACCTCATTCAGGGAATCAGGTTTGCACTCAGCCCCTGCCATGGGAACCCAGAAGATTATCTTAGGCAAGTCACACACTCTCAGCCTCAGAGGAAAGCAATGGTGAACCTCCTCTGAAAACATCTTCTCAAGAAGACCCCATAATATGTTTACTCTAGGGTTGTAATATATTGGAAACAACAATGGATACATCAAGAACAGAAAACCCTCTGGGTGATCTTGGGCAAGTCACACACTCTCAGCCACATAAGGAGTCAATGGCAAATCTCCCATGAAGAAATTGTGTCAAGAAAACCACATAAGGTTGAAACAGTGTGAAAATGCACAACAAATCAAAGGAAGGAAAAGACTTTGGTCAAGATGGAAGCAAAGAAAGCAGAAGACAGAGGACATGTGGCAAAGATGGAGGCAAGGAAACTCAATAGGAAGTCAACTGATGAAGACTTGGAAACATGGAAAGTCAAAGGAAGGAGAAGGGTTGGATGAGATGTAGGCAAAGAGACCAAATAGATGGGAAGATGAAAGCAAGGAAATGCAAAAATAAATCAACTGATGAAGATCTGAAGAAAACAGAAAGTCAAACAAAGGAGTTGACTTAGACAAGATGGAGGCAAGGAAAGTAGATAGGAGGCAGAAGATGAGGACAAGATGGAGATAAGAAGTCAAAGGAAGAAGAGGACAGAGAACATGTGGCCAAGATGGAAGCAAGGAAACTCATCAGGAAGGAAGTCAACTGATGAAGATATGGAGAAAAAGGAAAGTCAAAGGAAGGAGAAGGTTTGCATAAGATGGAGGCAAGGAACCAAATAGATGTGAAGTCAGAGGGAAAAGATTTGGAAGAAACAAAGGAAAGGAAACTCAATGGAAGCCTAAGGAGGAAGAAGAGGCAGAAGATGTGGTCAAGAGGGAGGCAAAAAAACTCAACAGGAAGTCAACTGATGAAGATGTGGAGAAAATGGAAAGTCAAAGGAAGGAGAAGCCTTAGATAAGATGGAGCCAAGGAGACCAAATGGGAAGCCAACAACTAAAAGAAGGAGAAGATTTGGTCAAGATGGAGGCAAGGAAAGTAGATGGAATTAAGGGGGCAGTAGATGAGGGCAAGATGAAGTTAAGAAGTCAAAGAAAGAAGAAGACAGAGAAGATGTGGCAAAGATGAAGGCAAGGAAACTCAACAGATGAAGACTTGGAAACATGAAAAGTCAAAGGAAGCAGAAGGCTCGGATGAGAAGGAGGCAGGGAGACCAAATGGATGGGAATAGGGCTGGGCGGTTTCGTTTCGTTAATTCGTAATTCGTTAATAATTCGTTATTTTTTTCAATTACAAAACGATAACGAACCATTCTGGAGCAATTTTTTTAAAAAACGAATTTTTAAACACGTTTTGTAAATGCTTCGTATTTCGTTATTGTATTCGTTTCGTTATTGTTCTGAGGTCGTTTCGTTATTATTTCCGCATGTCTGGGGCAAGTTTTTTGTTTAATTAGTGAAAAAAAATTATAATATCACACCAACAGTCAACAACAGAGAGGGAAGCTTCAGAAGTTTTTGGAGGTTTTTTAGCGTATTTCGCGGTCGCGTCCGCCATTAACGAATCGATTCGTTATTGTTTCGTAAATCGATTCGTTAATTTTTTACCATTTACGAAATTTCGTAAATAACAAAACATTTTTTTTGGAAAATTTTGTAAATATTTTAAATATCGAAACAAAAAAAACCCCAAATACAAATCGATTTTAGAAACAAATTTTTCCGTTGTTACCCAGGCCTAGATGGGAAGCCAAAGGGAGAAGATTTGGAGGAAATGGAGATAAGGAAAATCAGCGAGAACTCAAAAAAGGATGAGTAGACAGAAGATGGGGCCAAGATGGAAGCAAGGGATGAAGGAAAGGAGGAGGAGGCAAAAGACTTGACAAAATGGAAGCAAGAAAACATTACACAGGAAGGAGGTGAGGGAGAAGACAACTTGGATAAAATAAAGGCAAGGAAACCCAAGAGGAAGTTGGAAGAGGAAGAAGACTGGGATGAGATGGGGTTGAGGGAGGATATAAGGTGACATTTTTCACCTACCCACACCTCATACGAGGGTTGAATGAAAAGTAATGCCTCAATAGATGGCAGTACTGGTATGTGGCAGGTACTAGCTTGTTCAGTAGACTCTCCTCTACAGTTCCATTTTGGCAGGAAGCCTTAGCATTGAATGGTTGTGTTGCTAAAGTGCAAAGTATGGTACCCTGCACAGAGTCGGTTAATGCGACTTAAGCAACATGGAGTCATTGAATTCTTGACAGCAGAAGGTGTCACCCCAAGGAGATTCATCAGAGAATGCAAGCTGCTTATGGTGATTGTGTTGATGTGAGTACTGAGTGTCGTTGGATGAGAAAGTTTAAAGATGTTGAGGTGGGAACATCTGACTTCCATGACAAATAAAGAGTTGGACGTCCTGTGACAGCAACCGCCGAGTTTCACAAGCAAAAGTATGACAGATTGATTCAAGACGATTATTGTATCACTCAGAGAGAAATCATAGAATCATAGAATCAAAGAGTTGGAAGAGACCTCATGGGCCATCCAGTCCAACCCCATTCTGCCAAGAAGCAGGAATATTGCATTCAAATCACCCCTGACAGATGGCCATACAGCCTCTGTTTAAAAGCTTCCAAAGAAGGAGCCTCCACCACACTCCGGGGCAGAGAGTTCCACTGCTGAACGGCTCTCACAGTCAGGAAGTTCTTCCACGTGTTCAGATGGAATCTCCTCTCTTGTAGTTTGAAGCCATTGTTCCGCGTCCTAGTCTCCAGGGAAGCAGAAAACAAGCTTGCTCCCTCCTCCCTGTGGCTTCCTCTCACATATTTATACATGGCTATCATATCTCCTCTCAGCCTTCTCTTCTTCAGGCTAAACATGCCCAGCTCCTTAAGCCATTCCTCATAGGGCTTGTTCTCCAGACCTTTTATCATTTTAGTCGCTCTCCTCTGGACACATTCCAGCTTGTTAATATCTCTCTTGAATTGTGGTGCCCAGAATTGGACACAATATTCCAGGTGTGGTCTAACCAAAGCAGAATAGAGGGGTAGCATGACTTCCCTAGATCTAGACACTAATTTCAAGCATAATCGGCATTTCACAAGAACGTGTCGGTCACATTATTGCTTTGCTTGGCTATCAGAAGATCTGTGCACGATGGGTTGGAAACAGTGTCAACTTCTTCCATGACAGCTTCATAAAACTTGTTCATTGTTGGCAGAAATGTATCCAATTTTCTGGTGATTGCATGTAAAAGTGAATAGTGGTAGTTAAAGAGCACATTCTAAGGATTATTTCTACATTTGATTTATTAAAATATTCCCATCCAAACCCAAGTAGTGAAGGTGGAGGCATTACTTTTCATTCAGCCATCATAATATTGAAGCAGAGCCCATCCATTGAAATGGGACAGAATGAAAGGGCAGCGACGTGGTGAAACAGGGCACCCCACAAATCACAAAAGTCACCTGAGCCAAAGCTATGCTTCAAAGGGCACAGAAAAGCCCTTTGAACTGCGGAAAGAAGTGCATTTTCTCCCAATTGCCCTCATTCCCATTATTCCAGCTCCAAGTTACCCTGTTTCCTCTACTTACTGCTCTAGGATATCCCAAAGCTGCTCAAAAAACTCCGGATGGACGTATTCCCTGGTCTGGGAGCCCTGAGACATGGCGGAGCGGTAATAGCTCTCCCTCCAGGAGAAATGGCTTGCGGGGTCCACAAACCTAAAAACAAAGAGAGAGAAAAACCCCAAATAAGATTTCCATTTATTGTTTTTTGAATGTCTATTTTCATCCTCTTTTCAGTTTATTAAGAACTTCGAAAGCAGAGGAAGTGAGCGAAAGCAATTCCAGGCTGAATCCCCCTTCACTTTTGAACTTTGACTGCAACTTATTGGTGTGGTCTTGTGCATATTCTGTTATATGTCTATGTATATGTTGTGTTTTATATTTCTGTTTTAACTCAGTTGCCCCCCACCTTGCTGCCACAATGTGTTAAACCGCTGAGATGCTGAACTGCTGACCAAAAGGTCACAAGTTCAAACCCAAGGAGCGGGGTGAGTTCCCGCTATTAGCCCCAACTTCTGC